GGGGAAGGGACAGGCAGCCCCACCGCTGCCGAGGGCAGAGGAGCCGTTGCCTTATCCCAGCCTCCAGTCCCCAATCCCAAACCTTTAGCAAAGATGGGAGATGGAAACAAAGGATTTTGGTGCCGGCTGTGCCACGCTCCCCAGCCCCCGCGGTGCAGCTGTCCCGTGGAGCGACAGCGCTGAAGGGTAGTGAGGGGTGGGGGGGTAAAGGTTGGTGGTACCAAGGTCTGAGTCTGACACCCAGGGAGAGCCTTTTGGGGCTTCTGGGGCTTGGGGTGGGCTCTGGCTGGCATTAACAACCTGCCCTTCTCTTTCCCCCGCCCGCTGGCATCCCCCACAGAAGCTGCTGATGGCAACGCGACCCTGGGCGGTGGGACGGGCACCATGGGGCTGAGCGCCCGCTACGGCCCCCAGTTCACCCTGCAGCACGTCCCTGATTACCGGCAGAACGTCTACATCCCGGGCAGCACCGCCACCCTCACCAACGCCGGCAAACGTGACGCCAAGAGCGCCGGCTCCTCAGGGGGCAACAAGAAGAAATCTGGGAAGAAGGAGAAGAAGTAGAGAAGAAGGAGGAGACCTTAGAGCTACAGGGCAGCCGGCTCCAGCACTCCCCCAAACCACAGCCCAGGCCGGAGGACGAATGTGAATCTTTTTTGTGATGCGAAAAGTAGGAAACGCTGCGAATGTATCTCCTCATCATCAGAGCTAGGAGCAGGGTTTCGCTGCTGTTAGATCTCATGATGAAATCCAATCCGGAAGCTAAACCGAACGCAAACAAGTGCCCTGTGAATACTTGCTAATGTTTTATACAGTCCCTCGGGTATTAGAATATGCAAGGGCGGAAAGTCTTCTGCCGTGTCTTTGGATCCGATTTGCTCCCAGATAGTCCGAGAAAGACACAAAGCTTGTGCTCGGCTTTGCCCAGTGTAAATAATTTTAACGCGTATCTTTTAATTTATAGACCTTCAATCATTTTTTTGGAAAGGAAAAGGCAGTTCCTAGCTTAAAGCCCATGCTCCAGATCTTCGCTTTTTAACTTTCCATGAGTAAAATCTTTTCCCCCCCCCAGTGTATGGTAGTGATGGATTTGTTGCTGAGATTTTGGTAGGGAGTGCTTCAGTTCCTGCTTACCTGTGACCCGGAAAAAAAAAAAAAGTAAGTGTTTATATTGCATGAGTCCAAGGGAATAAGGCAAAGCTGCATCCTAAACGTTTTGAATTTTTTTTTAAAAAAAGTGCAACCACCAATGGCCTGAAGTATGAGACAAAAAAAACCCAAACCCTGCTGATGTCCGAGAGGTAGGGAATTCCATGAGGAACATGCCGAGGTGCGCGGCAGCTGCCCCAGCGGTTCTAGGGGTCTCCGAAGAGCAGACACATCTCATCCCTTCTTTGCAGTAAATATTTATATGTACAGTCAATGTTCTTCTGGAATTAAAGCTAAGAGAGTCTTGCTCCCCTGTGGCCAGGCAGCCTCCTGGCGGAGTTCCCCGCCAAGGGGACCAGGGGACGATGCTTCACGTTTCTGCACACCGTGTCTGCATGCACATCCGTCACCTCCCACCTGCACTAGCGCCGTTAGCTCCACGGACCAGAGAAGTCCTTGCATGCCCACGCAGCGTGGTGTGAACGCGCCGGCAGCTGCCTGAGACTCCTTGCTGGGGCTGCCTG